TTGTTTTTAGAAAATTAAAACAAATCTTTAAAAAATTAATTAAGATAATTGAAATAATTTATATATTTTTAATTTAGAATCGATATTTATTTACATAAAAAAATTATATATTTTTTATATTCTTTTTTATTCCTTGTTTTTTAATTGTTTTTAATTGTTTTTTAATATACTATTTAAAAAGTTGATATCTATTTACTTGAAAATTATATATTTAAAAAATTTGTTATATCTCTTGGGAAAATTTAATTAGAAAACTTAAAAAAATCTTAAAACTTACTGTAAATTTAATAGAAAACTTAAGGTATGTAAAGAAATAATATAAAGGTAAATTTTAAACTTTATGTCCATAGTAATCTTAAATTTAATGTTTATTAAACTAAAATATTTAAAAATTGTTAAAAATAAATGTCAACAATTTTAAGATTTTCTTTAAAGTAATAATTGTAAAATTATAAGTTTGTTTAAATTTCAAGATGAATCTGTTTATTTATAAGGTAGCTTGCCATCAAAAAAATTATTTCATAAGAACATAAATGAAAAATTTTAATACTGCCTTTTATTTCATACTGTATGAATCTTATTTACGAGAAAATGCAGCACCGTCACATTCATCTAGTGGCGCTGTCGCGTATTGTTCGCGAATGAACTTTATGTCGACTTAGCATTACTTTCTTATGAGCGCTTTAAAATCCCAGAAATACGATGGAAATAATAAAACTCAGTTTTTCTAAGATTATTTTTAAATCAGCACTTAAATACTTTAAAGTTCTTATATTTAGATTAATATTTTGCACACACTTTACCTCAAAAATTTTTAAGTAAACTCTTAATTATTTTTAAAAACTTTAACTTTATTTAAAGTAAATTTTATCAAGAAATTTTTTTATTTATATAACTTATAATATAAGTTATAATATAACATATAAGTATAACATATAATATAATATATAAGTTATAATATAATATACATATTATAATTATAATATATTATATTTTATAATTATAA